ATTTCCTTCCTCTAAGAGGCCATCCTAGTTTTCTGCACTCTACAGGGTTTCTGCTACTCATTTGATATAGTCCAGCATTCTTCAGTTATTTCCATCAAAATGTAGTTCTTCGTTTGTAGATTTGGCTGTCCTTTGGGTGGGGGGGGGGCACAAGCAGAAGGAGCTTCCAGTCACTCATCTTGCTGATGCCATTTAACTTTAGCTTTTATCAGAGGATATCATGATGAGATTTCACACAACCATTTCTCTCCCTGTACTCCTTAGTACAGCACAGTCTCTCTTACCTGAGTTGGTGCTTAACAAATGCTTCTAGAAGGAGGAGTTACATACAGTAATGAGCTAATTAATTGAGTGAACATGAGCACGCTGACATCCCCGTTGGAAGGACAGACTGCTTCTGCAGGCAGTAGTAAGTGATTTGAGCCACCATCAATGACTGCGGCCTAGTGCTCCAGTGATTTCAAAAGCCAAGAATTTGTTTCTCTTTGCCTGTTTCCATGGAATTGGCTTTTGCTCTTGCTTCATGAAACATCTGAACTAAAAGAGGGACAGCACAACTATTGAATATATTATTGAATACTAAAGAAAGTAAGACACACCTTCATTCTCTTGGTGACTCTGTATCTGGAATGACATCACAGTTGCCATTACTCTAGAGCAGGGGTCAGCAAACCTGTTCTATAAAGAACAAGATAGTAAATATCTTTTACTTTGTAGGCTCTGTTACAACCAATTTACTCTTGTAATACCAAAGCAGCCTCAGACAATATGTAAACATCCAGGTTCATTGTGTTCCAATAAAACTTAATTTATAAAAATAAGCAGTGGTCAGTTTGGCTCCTGTGGCCCTAGTTTGTTGGTCCTTGTTATAGAGTGCCTCGTGATCTCTCATTTTCTTTTAAAATTATTATTAATTAAAATATGCTTATTTTGTGGAGATATGTCAGAGGGAGGGAACATGCCTAGCAAGTGTGAGGCCCTAGGTTTGATCCCCAGCACGAAAAAAAAAAATAAAATAAAACAAAATGTGTTCATTATCCTGTTCTTTTTCATTGCTTTTATGGTAGCCAATGAAAGGGTTGACTTATATTGAATAGCAAGATTTTTAAAAATTACTTTTAAAGGCATATGTGGTCAGGTTGGGCAGGAGGTGAAATGTATGTCCATAAAACATGGCTACTTAACAGAATGCCATGTTCTTCCCCAGACCCCAGTCAGCTCAGCTTCATAACCAGTCCCTTCTCACTCTTATCCTCCATAGCAAGGGCCCCTCTCATATGACCCTGAGACTCTGCCTCCCTCTAGCCAGCATGACACTCAGGCAAGACTAGCCAGCAGCTCACCCCTTCTCTTCTGTCACTTAAGCCTTGATACAAAGCTGTGAACTGAGTTCATGCTGACCATACAAACTCTCTTGAACCTCTTTAGTTCCCTCCCCACAATACTGAGTTCAGCTTACAGTTGGCAGCCTTTGGTACCCTGCCCCTTCCTTCACCTGCCCTTCTCACTTACTTGCTAATCTTTGCTCCAAGTTAAAGGGTTATCATGAGGTTGAAAAAGCCAAGGTTTTCTGTCTACCATATTTTACTCCCCTACGGACATGTCTTTGAGTCTAGATTGGCCCAAGCAAAATAGTCTGGTTGGCAGTTTTACTGGCTTTCTTTCAACAAGGAGAGTGAAAATGCTGGTTGCCAAGCAACGCATATGCCATGACTTCTTCCAACAATGTAAGGTTCAAAAAAATAGCAAGAAACCTTTATCTATATCATCATATCATGAGCGGGGATCCTGTGGGACAGGCAGGGCAAGCAGGTTGATACAACAACATAATATCTTTTCATTCCAACTTTGGTGTCTTTCCCTGGAGACTCACCTGAAGAGACAGAGGAGCAGGCCTTCAGCTCGGTGCAACTGATGGACAGACTTATCATGAGGAACGCCGTAGTTTAGTTAGTAACTACCATTTGTAGATTCCGTAGTTGCAAATTTTCCTACTGATAAAATTTCTTTCTAATTTTTCAGTTAGCTTGTTCACTGCTGTGACTAAAAGGGCCAACCAGAACAATTGTAGAGGAAAGATTTATTTGAGGGTTCACAGTTTCAGAGGTCTCAGTCCATAGAAGCCCAGCACCATCCCTCGGAGCTCCAGGTGAGGCTAAACATCATGGCATAAAAGTGTGGCAGAGGAAAGCAGCTCACATGATGATCAGAAAAAGGGAGAGGGGTCTCCACTTACCAGATACAAATATATCCCCCAAAGCCACATCCCCAATTCCCACCTCCTCCAGCCACACCCTACCACTTCAGTTACCACTCAGTTAATCCCTTTCAGGGGATTAATTCAGTTATTTGGTTAAGATCATTATAACCCAATCATTTCTCCTCTGAACCTTCTTACATTGTCTCACGCATGAACTTTTGGGGGACACCTCATATCCAAACCATAACAGTAATCCCTAAACAATACTCAACGCACTTCAGAATCATTTCAGGACTTGCAGAGTGGTGGAAACTTTGAGTTTCCAACCCATATATTCCCCATTGAAATGGCACAGGGTGCTACTCTGCCTTCTTATGTCAGCTCTTCTATTTATAAATAAGTGTGCTTTCAAGTTGATGTACTGCTACGTGTTTTTTGTTTTGTTTTGCATTTTTGTGTTTTTGTTGGTGATTTCACTGTTTTAAATGATCCTGTGCATGGTGCTAACGTGTTCTCTAATGTAACAAAGGGTACAAAGGCTGTGATGTGCCTTGTGGAGAAAACACACATGTTAAATAAGCTTCACTCAGGCCCGAGTTACAGTACTGACGACTGCAAGTTTAATATTAATGAATCAATACAACAGTACATTCAGAAATAGGAAGAGGAAATTCCCTGATCTATATGTAAGAGCACTCCAGAAAATACTATTAATATCTGTAGTACATAATGAAGCTATCAAAATGATTTTATTTTTATTTTTTTAGAGAGTGAGAGAGAGAGAAAGAGAGAGAGAATTTTTTAATATTTATATTTTTTAGTTTTTGGCAGACACAACATCTTTTTTTATGTGGTGCTGAGGATTGAACCCAGGCCGCACGCATGCCAGGTGAGCGCGCTACCGCTTGAGCCACATCCCCAGCCCCCAAAATGATTTTAAAAAGTAACTGAATTTGTAGATTCATGAGATGATGAACTGTTAAAGAAAAAAAAAATCTGTAGCCCAGTGTATTGTTGTGAGGCCAAAAGCCAAAGAAATTTATGGTCATATTACTCTGGTTCAGGAAATTATTGAACCCTTCTTGGTTAGTGTTTATTATAAAGCAATACTGCATATGTTTTAGTGCTTATTAGGAATAGGTATTAAATAAGTTATCTTTCAAGATAAATACAAATAAAACAAGGTTATGTAATGACCAGTTGATGAAACTTTTGTGACGGGATCCTCACCAGTGGCTCACTAAACCATGCATTTCCCCAAAAAGTCATGGACAATTATTAACTAATTCAGGACTCACAGGTATTTTATAGAACCTATATGATCATAACTATCCTAAATGGAACCCATCTTCTGCATCCCATATTGAAGACAAGGCCAAGGTGTACTGTCTTTGCTGAGATAAGACTCAACCTCTCCACTGAATGGCTATGTCCACGACACGTCCTTTCTGGACATGAAGGGAGTTAAATGTATGCAGCTTGTCCCTGGTGCCCCCCCCCACACACCTCCCTTATTACTCCTTTCACCAATTCTGTCACTGGTTATTTTGTGAAAGGGAAGCCCTGGTATATTTATAAACTGTCCTGGTACTGAGCCGTTGTGAGCTCAGCATCCCTGAACAGACACCTTAATTGGTCTCAGATGGGAATGAAAAACTATCACACCACAGTCTCTCCTACCAGAAGCTGTATTCAGGTCACATGTGAATTGGCCTCTTGTCTGCTGAGAGTGGCCTGCATCTCCCAGAGTCTGCTGAATTGGACAGTCCCTCCCCAGGGGGTTCAGACATGCAGATGAACTCCTCTCATCTGGAATTACAAACACATCGCAGAGATATGAACATAGGGCATGGGAAACACAGAGGCAGACTCAGCCTTCAGGGGAGGGGATGCTCCAGAGATGAAATGACACTTGGCAAATGCTGCTGATGAAGTAAGAAGAGGCCTTTTAAAAGCAAGACAGAAAAAAAAATGGTAGAACAAGTATAGAAATGGAAAAAAAAAAAACTTGAGACATTCCTTTAGGACAACACTTAAAATGTCCAGAAACACAATTGGTAAACCCATGGGCCTCATTATCACCACTCTGGACACTCTGGCCCCATACAGCAACTGAAAAGTTCCCAGAGGAGGCCTTTCTAGAAATTTCTTTCAATTGCTAAGCAAGTGAGTATTTGAGTATTTGGGCTTGTTTCTGTGTTTCTCCACTTATCAGGAATACAAATACATTTTCCTTCTGTGCTACTAGATGCAAATATGAGAATTAAGAGACAGTGAGGATAAAGTGGTTCCAACTCCTTGTAAGACATTKTGCATGTATTATAAACACATAGATCTTCAATACAAATTCTCAGCAGGGAACTGCTTTTTGTTACAGGGATTGCCTGTGTGCACAGACTTGCAGAGAAAGGCAGGGTATGCAGATAGCACGCTGAGTCACTGGTCAAAAAGTCATTTTCTGTGATCCCTTCTTCCCATTTCTATTCCCAGGCCTCATTATGTGCAATGTCATATGCACACAGACACACAGGAACACCCCATCACATCCAGGAGAGAAGTGCCCAGGGAGGTGTTTGCATGAATTTCATCTTTGGAGTAAGAAGCACTTGCTCAGCTGCCAACCACAAATAGCCCCATGCTCCCATGCTGGAAAATGATGCTAATTGGTGTGCCATTTTTAAAAAAGGAAGAAAAAAATACCAACCACAACAAAATAACCATGTACAGACCTAAAGTCCTACCCTGAGAGTCAATGTGAAGCATGGCCCACTAATACAGCCTTAATTACTTTGTTTGGCAGAGAGAGCAAGCTCACCATGCTGCTTTGGGAGTCTCTGAGGAACATGAACTGTCACACCACCATGATCACTCACATCTCTGCCGCAGCTGGGAACTATGCAGAAACCCTGTCTACCATCCAGATYGCATCAAGGGTCTTGAGGATGAAGAAGAAGAAGATGAAGGTAAGTAGTTCACAGTGGGTGCAGTGGGTAATGGAGCTTTGGAGCCTTGTCCCAGTACTGAGACAGAGAGAGCCAAATCAATATTGCTGATCACCAAACACAGGGGTGCATGTGAAAGCATCACTGCTGTGGTCTCCACTTGGGGGCAGGGAAACCTTCCCACTGACAGGAGAGAATCAGGTCTTCTGCTGGCCCTGGGCATCCAGCCTTACCTCTGACAGGTAGTGCTTGGTGTGCTTTAGATAAATTTTGAGATGAAAAATGTTAGAGAGATGGAAATTATTCAGTTTTTCTCTTGCCTGACTGGTCCTATGTAGATGAAGACTGTGTCCTTCAATGAGTCAACTCTCTAAAGAGGGCTATTAACTTCTTGATCATGTGGCCCTATTGCCCACCCCCATGTTCAGGAGTGATTTTCTGGCTGCTGGAATTGTCATGTTAATTCAATGTTTTCTGCTTGTTACTGAGTGTGCTAGATGCCACTGGGCTCCTTTCCTCTGGCAGAAGCAAATCCCAGACAGTGGCAGCTTGGCAAGAATGCCTGAGAGGACCATGGTGGTTGTGGCCAATCAGATCCTGGAGCGGGGGCAGCGATTAACATGTGTGAGGGCTTTTCTTTCCTTCTTCTTTATGTATTTTTTAATTGGGGGATGGAGTATAAAACAGGGTTTCCCAACCAATGTTCTGTTGGTTGTATTCAGGAATAGCCCTTAAGAGGTCAGAAGGGGACTGCATCTCCTCTGCTGAGCAGCCTCTAATTCCTCAGTGTGCCATATAGGGATTATCTTAAGCACATACAGCTATGATATGGAACATTGGGCACTCTGATCTGGCCCAGTGGAGTCATGGTTCTGCTTTTCAATGTGGGAGATCAATCAAAGGGACCTTCAGTAGCTCCTGTTAAGTCGGTGGCTTCTACCATTTACCACATAATGTCAGGCTCCCTGGGAGGGCTGTCTCAGAGGCACCACATATTAACTGTTCTCTCACTCATAGTACATGTCGAGCTCCTCTGGTGGAGAAAGCTCCTGTGAGGAAGGCAGAATGCGCAGGCTCACCCAACAGAGACCCTTCCATATCAGAGCCACGGTGGATCCCGACTTCCCCATTGCGCACCTGTCCAGTGATTCTGACTACTCCTCCAGCATCCAGCATCGAGCAATCTTGTGACACTGTCATCTACATCGGGCCTAGTGGCTCAGCCCCCTCTTACAAGGAGCTCACTGACAATGAGGGGCCCCCAAACTTTGTTCCCATTGTACCTGCCCTGCAGAAGACCAAAGGTGACAGCCAGCCCACAGAGGCAGGAGAGGCTGCAGCCAGCAAATCAAAAAGGGACTGCTTGAAGTGTAACACATTTGCTGCACTGCAAGAGAGACTAGACTGCATTGATGGCAGCAAGGAGCCCAGTAAGTTTTCTTTCAAAGAGCTGCCTGTACAGTTTGGGGCAGAGCAGGCGAGCAAATGCCCCTCATTAAGCCAAGTGTCTGGGGCAAACTTACTTTCTGAGTTCGATAAGGAAGACAATGGGTCAGATGGCCAGGTGACTGATTGGGAAGGCCCAGACAACCTGGCCTGTAAGATGCAAAGGAATCACTCCCCTGTTCCTGCCACAGTATGCAGCAGCCGCCCCACCCCAGCCTCATCCCGAAGCATCCCAGGCAGCAGTGGCCAGATGGTGCAGAGCCCCGGCCTCCAGAGCAGCTGGGAGAGCCTGAACTCCTGTGGCTTCATGGAGGGCAAGCCCAGGCCCATGGGCTCCCCAAAGCTGGGCATTGCCAGCCTATCCAAGACTTCTGAGTACAAGCCCCCCAGCTCTCCTTCCCAGAAATGCAAAGTCTATACACAGAAGGGGGTCCTGCCAACCTCTGCTCCACTGCCACCATTGAGCAAGGATTCTGGTATGGTCTCTAGCAAGTCCTTGCTGCAGCCTGAGGTACGTACCCCTCCGGTTGGAATGAGCTCCCAGTTTTTGAAGAAATCTATGTCTGCTGGGAGTGAGGGGTTCCCAGAAACCCCTGTTGAGAAGGAGCATCAGGCAGCATATCCTCCAGACTCCATGAAGGAGATTCTGAGCACCACAGTGGTGACCATGCAGCAGCCATTGGAGCTGAACATGGAGGATGAGCTGGTGTTCACGCTGGTGGAAGAGCTGAACATCAGTGGGGTCCTGGACAGTGGCCATCCCACCAGCATCATCAGCTTCAATAGCAACTGCTCTGTGCAGACCTTAGCCTCAGGCTCCCAGCCCGTCAGCATCATCATCAGCATCAGGGAGGATCTGGAGGGCTACTCGAGCATGGCTCCCGTCTCTGAAGTGAGCATCGCACAGTTCTTGCCCCTTCCGAAGCTAAGCCTGGATGGGAAGGCTCAGGAGAGAGGCAGCAGGTGTTCCTCCATCAGCTCCTGGCTAAGCGACATGAGCGCTGGCAGTGATGGCAAGCAATCATGTCAGTTTCATATCCCAGACATGTTTTGGCCATGGCAGAACCTCCAGCCTCAGAGTTTGTTAGCAGCATCCAGAACAGTGCTGTGGTGTGCAGAGAGAAGCCCAAGGAAGGCCCTGACAACCTGCTCATCTTGTCTGAGTGGGAAGACTCTTTCAACAAAGCCACCCCCATCAAAAGCTGCAAAATATCCACACTGGGCAAGGCCATGGTCACCATCTCCAATACAGCCACCCTGAGCAATTGCGAAGGGTAGTAAAGAAACCAGTGCAAAGAGAGAGATGAAATTTGAGGACCCCTGGCTGAAACGAGAAGAGGAAGTGAAAAAAGAGAATGCTTTTCAAAGTGAAGAAGGGATTAGATATGAGACTGCCACAGGCCCCACTAAGCCTGAGACCAGACCAGAGCAAGAACAGGATAGGAAGCCCAGCYCGGGCGACAGGCTCAGCAGCAGCAGTGGASAGGTATCTGCCTCCCCAGTGACTGACAACTTCAAGAGGGTTGTGGATGGCTGTGAGATGGCTCTGCCTGGTTTGGTGGCCCAGAGSCCAATGCATTCCAGCAAAAGCCTGAAATCCAGCATCCTTCCTAGAGCATTTCAGAAAGACAGCAGACAGGAGGGGCTAGATAACCTCTTCTACCACTGCAGTGCCGACACCAATGGCCTGGGGACAGTATCAGGCACCCAGGCCTCTAAGGCAACCCTGGATCACAAGGTAGCTTCCCCGAAGCATTGTGTCCTTGCCAGGCCTAAAGGGAATCCTCCTCTGCCCCCTGTCCACAAGTCCAGCTTGGACCAGAAGAACCGGGCCAGCCCCCAGAACAGTGCCAGCAGCAGCAGCAGCACCAGCAGCCCCTTGAACCAGTCAGCCACCTTCTTGGACAGCTTCCCTGATGAGCCCAGCAGCAAGATGAAGGATGCCAGTAGCAGCAGCAAGTTCTTCAGTGGAGCAGGTAGCCAGCAGAACCAACTCTCTTGGCAGAATAACAGTCAGCCACTACGAATGCTTGTTGCTGGAGAGGGTGGAGAGCCTGTCCTCCATGAGCTCACGACTGGACACTGGCAAAGACAGCACCATGCCACTTTCTGGCAGGAGCCTGGACCAGCAGCACAGGGGCCTCACCACCCAGCTGCAGCACCACCCAGTCAGCAGGGGCTTCGCCCAAGGCCAGCCAGTCCAAGATTTTAGCCATAAGCAAGCTCCTCCTGGCCAGCCCCAAAGCCCGCAGCCTGTCAACCTCCACCTTCAAAACCCTCAGCTTCTCCACCAAGTCGCTGCCTCAGACAGTGGGCCAAAGCTCCAACGTGCCCCCCAGCAGGAAGCACATGTCCTGGTTCACCCAGTCACTCAGCAGGAACCGAAACTCTGGATTGGCTTCCACACTGCCTCTGAGAGCAATCAATGGGCGCATCTCCGATCTGCTGCAAGGGAATGGGGGCACCCAGGGCTTGCAGGTGTGGGCTGGACCTGAGGCAGAGGAGCACAGTGGGGCTCCCATGGAGGAAAAGCCTACAGCAGCGCACCTGCTGTCCTCGCCCTACAGCAAGATCTCCCCACCTCGGAAGCCACACTGGTGCAGCAGGGGGCATGGCAGTGACAACAGCAGCGGGTTGAGCGGGGAACTCCCGCTGGCCATGGGGAAGACTGCCCTCTTCTACCACAGTGGTGACAGTAAGAGGCTACAAGAGCATGATGAGGGACAGCGAGGCCACCGGCAGTGCGTCCTTGGCCCAGGACTCCATGAGTGAGAACAGCAGCTTTGTGGGCGGCAGGTGCCGGAGCCTGAAACCCCCAAAGAAATGGTCCAATTCAGGCAGGCCCTTGAGGACAGGGTCCCAGGGAGGTAAAGGGCAGGTGTGTGTGAGGTCCACTGCTCCCCTGTCCTCTGATGAGGGGACCTCCAGGTCCTGGGTATTGAGGTCTCATCTCTTCTTTCTGATATCCTGTCACTTGTAGTTCTTGGCTAGGGATAGAACCACAAAAGGCTTCACTGTAAAAACTTGTTGTTGTGTGCATCATTAGACCTTGAGGCTGCCACCATCCCTCACTTTCAGCAGGGGGGTGCTGGATGCAGAGAAGCATCCATGAATCAATGGTTCTTCCTCCATGGTATCTCCTCATCTGGTCCCTGAGCCATGTCTTTATTTGCTCAAGCACTGTACTACTTTTGAAAGGTCTCTGAGGGATCAGGTCAGGTTCCCTGACCTCAGGACTACAGAAACCTGTATGTGGGACTGAAGGTCTCCAAGACCTCGGCAGCCTCTCTCAGGGATGGAGTATACTTTGATTCACTGAAGGTGCAGTGGTAGAGGCCTTCCTCCACTTCCACCCCAAAGACAGTCATGGACAGTCAGGAGTGGGCTCCAGCMGCAGGGGTTGCACTTCTCCTTCTGTTCACACACACAGTGCCACAAGGTATAGAACCACTCATACACTACCACCACTGTCGTGGGAGGGAGTCTTTGCCATCTCTAGGAATCTGTTGTCCAAAGGCACATACTCCAGAACTCAGGAAAACCACTGACATGTTTGTTGGAGTTTAGTGTGACATGTAACAGTAAGTTCTGATGGGCAAGGAGAAGAGAACTGGGTAGGTGAGGTGAAAGGATTGGAAGGAGAGAAGGAAGCAGGGAGACAGAAGCAAAAGGTACCAGGAATAATGAGATACTTGAGAATTTTGCCTGGAATAATTTCTATTCTTCAATGACTTCTAAAAAAATTGCCCCATTCATTCTTTAGCCTCATCATTCAAAAAAAAAAAAAAGAGTAATGCCAAGCCCCAAAGACAATGCAATTCTGTGCCTTGGTTGAAATGCAGGTGGCAGGGGGCCTGTCCTCCTGCCACCCCTCCCCCTTTGTGGAATTCTAGTATCTCCAGAAGCCACTGCTTTGCAGAATATGGGTTTCAACAGCCTATTTGTGATTAAAAGATGGGGTCATGTTCAGAAAGGGGGTCCTTTTTCTACTGCACCAGCTGCATCTGTAGCTCCTGTACCAGACTTTTTCTATCAATAATGACATTGCTTTTCCATATTCCACCACCAGTGAGTTCCAGCTCTGGAATGCTCCAATCCAGATGTAAGGACACATCATAACCCTTTGCCTTCCTCAAATCAAAGAAATGGCCTTAAGGGATCATGCATTCATGCAGTTTTACATCCCCAGATGTCCCACCGACCCACTCCACCCCATTGCAACTCACAGAACATGGTGGTAAGGATCTTACATTCTAAGAATATTTGGAAAACTTCATGGCTATCAGCACCTTAAAGTCATTATTTCCCAGTGGTGTGTGTTTCAGCATCTGATGCACTTGGTCTGTGCTCTGCTTCACCCCCCTCAGTCTCAGCAGCAGACATTGGAGCAGAACCCCATATAAGAGAAATTGGAAGTGACAAGCTACTCAGTAAAACAAAATAGCTGCTGTGTCCTATCATCAGGGCCAAGGGCATAACAATGTGTTGGTATTAGTTACTAAACATAACAAAGTATATCTACACCACTATCATTTTTAATATTTATTTTTCAATTGTAGTTGGACATGATTCCATTATTTTACTTATTTATTTTTATGTGGTGCTGAGGATCTAACCCAGGGCCTCGCACGTGCTAGGCAAGCACTCTACTGCTGAGCCACAACCCCAGCCACGCCACTATCTTTGTGGGGAAGAAATAGCTGCTTGCCTCCCCAGTACTTGACTGACAAACCCCGTTATTTCAACCTACCCAGTGTTGATCTTCAAATCCAGACAATTATGTGACATTTTCTATGTGGTCATCTGTGTTTTAGTGTTAAAGAATGCTTTCATTACTTCTCTCTAATTAAGCACCTTGAATTAATTGTTCTTTCACTGCTTTTTATTCTCTTTCAAGACATTAATTTATTGGTTTGCCTGTTGTAGTGGAACAAAGAGGAGGAAAAAAATGTGAAAGAAACAAATGTGCACAATAGCTCCTTGGAGAGTGGCCAAAGGTTCTGCACATGACCTTGCTCAGGACTGAGTCCTTTCACAGGCGCTGTCCTTTGAGGGTCTCTTTTTAGGTAAGGCCTTTGGAGGAAATAATATGAAATTAAAATGTAATGGTAGGTGCTAGAGATAGGATTTCATATGGAGTGCCCAGAGCATCAGACCTTTGTGATCTGCTGCCACAGATTCGGGGCACCATGATGGATTTGGTGGTGAAGTGGAGCTCATTTCAGGTTAGGTGACTTTGACTCACTTATTTATGATTATTATTAAGAGAAATGTTGGCCGTCAGGTGTTATAAGCATCCATCAAAAACCATTTCTTTAGGAGAAACCATAAAACCCCTCAAAGGAAATTCCTAAGTAGATGGCTAATGTTTACAATTACTAGGCAGTTGTCTTTTATTTGAGATGGCTTTTGAGTTGGGAAAATTTTAATGCTTTGGTTATTTGCTTTACAAAAAGGAACTAGAATTTTATCATTGGGTAAATAACGGTGAGCACTCAGATTTCCTTGTGATGCATATAACAATAGAAACCATCAAATATCACCACAGTTCATTATTCCAGCCTCATTCCTAGAGACCCATATTATTAGTAAAGAGTGAACATAATCAGGCTTATTCTTATGGTCTTTGTGTGGAATGGTGCAGTGAGAAGATTAAGCCAGAAAGTAGAAGACATGGGATCTTGAGTTGTGTGATCGCTCAGAAATAATTAGCCACTCTGGGCTTCAGTTTTCTCATGTACAAGTTAAGTAAGGGATTTGGTAGATAATAGCCATGGTATGCCTGCTGCCCACATCATAAGAGACTATGTCAATTAATACAAAAAATATTGATGACAATATGACATCCTTTTCATAAGGCAACCCATTGTCAGTAAGCTTTATTTTTGGTTGTTATATCTGATAGTTTTCCATTACTGTAACAAAATACCCAAGGCAATCAACTTAAAAAGAGCAAAGGTATATTTTTTATTGTGGTTTCAGAGATTTCGGTCCCTGATCAGACAGGCCTGTTGCTTTTGGCAACACAGCATAGTGGGGAGTGTGTGGTGAAGCAAAGTCACTTACCTCATGGTGGCCAAGAAGCAAAAAAAAAAAAAAAGACTGAATTCTCATTATCCCCTTCAAGGGCATATCCCAGTGACCCAAGACCTCCTACTTGGCCCTGCCTCCTGAAGGTTCCACCACCTCCCAGTCATGCCACGGGCTGGGGACCAAGCCCATAACATATGGGCTTTGGGGTTATACCCAAAATTACACCACAGCACTTGTTAAGCATTCATCAGTCATGTACTCCTAGAGCTTAGTGATATAGAAGGCTCCAGTGAGGGAGGAGTGTCAGCAACATAATTTACAAGGTGACTATAAGGAGTCTGTAATTTAATTAGAGAGAAAGTAATAAAAGCATGAAATTGAGAATGGTGGGGTCAGGGACTGAGGGCTGCCCTGTGTGATTGGGGAGTACAGACATAAGCATATTCGATATTTTAGGTAAAGGCAGGACCTGTGAGTCAGAGCAATGGTAGAAGGCTACAGGGAAATACCAGGCCGGGGCCTGGTCTTGAAGGATCCTGATATTTTCACAGGCAGAAGGGGTGGAATTCACTGGAGACTGAGGGAGTAGAGCCCAAGCTCCAAACTGCAAGACCACAATCAAGAGGGGCCTAATCTTATTGAGAGACTACAAAATGCAATCCCAGATTAAGTTACTTATTGACCATCCAGAAACTGAATAAAAGTGCCCACTATCTTATACTATATATCAGTCTCTAAGACTAGAATAAAAATATATATTATTATTATTTTAGAGAGAGAGATAATTGTTTTAAAGATAGAGAGAGAGAGAGAGAGAGAGAGAGAGAGAGAGAGAGAGAAAGAAAGAGAGAGAATTCTTTTTAATATTTATTTTTCAGTGTTTCAGTGGACACAACATCTTTATTCTATTTTTATGTGGTGCTGAGGATTTAACCCAGAGCCTCGCGCATGCCAGGCGAGTGTGCTACCACTTAAGCCACATCCCCAGCCCCAAGAATATATATTATTGTAGTTGGCAGTGGGGAGTCATTACAGGTTCTTGACCAAGGAAGCCATGAGAGAAACTTGTAAGTTACTTTAATGAGTGGATGGATTTTCATTCATCCTCACACAGTTCCTAGCTGGCCCCTCTGTGGTCAGTGACATGAAATTGTATATAGTCTAGGGCTATGAATTAGAGTAATGCCAGCCAGCCCAAGAGGGGATCCCACGTCTGTCCCAAACAGAAGGCATGTAAGTTGCTGAGGGTCTATCAGTCTATCCGTGGGTGGCGTGTGATAGATGCCAACATAGCAACAGTCAAGTCCCCTATCCTAACACTACCACCTCCCTCTCGAGTCTCACCTCAGTCATCATGTGAACTCTCCCCAGAGCATCTTTATCTTCTTCCCATGGTCCTTCATCCCACCCTGCCCCCTTGGCTTCTTTCTCTTTAACTGGAGAGGTAAGGCCAAGAATTAGATGAKCATCTTGGCCTGAATGAAGCTGATACCTACTGCAGGGAGCCCAGGCCTGCTGGGCTCCAGCATCCAGAAAGCTCCAGGGTGAGGGGGGTCTGCCCACAGAGAAGCAACCCCAGGAAAGCCTGCTGGTTCTGAGACACATGGAGGCTTTGACCTGATCGGGCATGAGCTTCTACACTTCCTATTTTGCTCCTGCCTCAGCCTGCCTGAAACTCAGCACTGAGCAGGTGCAGGTTAACATTGGATACCACTGATTCATGCATCAGTTGGTTGGTTGGCAGCATATCCCTAAAATTCAACTCATATTTCTTTTCTATGTATTTTTCTTATCTTGTCCTGTT